AGAGCAGAGACAAGGACACGGGAGGCCATGCCTCGGAGACGAGGCAGGGAGGGGTGATCAAGGCGGTGGTGCCAGAGGAGAGTCTGGTGGGACAGGAGACGACACGAGCAGGGAGCAAACTCAGGACCAGACCTGGACGCTGCAGCAAACACCTGACTCGACGCAGCAACCTGACCAGACTCAGCAACTGGAGGAGACTCAGTAGTCAGTGTGTACAGGTTCGACCCCGGCTAACGGGTAAACGTGGCCAAGTGTCGGCCCGTCCGAGCACACGTACAGTGGGTCACCCGCTGACTCGCAGGAGTGAACTGGTCGACCCCCCGATCCTGTAGATCAGCACCACTCACCAAGTTCGTAGAGAACGAGGGGAGGTAGAGACCTGACAGGGTGCCAGAGGGGGCTACTGGACACGGTAAGACAGCTGAGAAGTGGGCAAGGACAGGACCCCCAGAGGGGTCCGCCAAGGAGACCGCAACCGGCCGACTAAGCGGCGTAAGCGTGGTGCGGTCTCGAAAGAAGGAGCGGGAAGCACCCGAGTCAAGGGTGAAGGTGTGTAAGGCCTGAGCCGACGTGGTACCTGAGAGAGCAGACTCACCAACACCTGGGGCAGCAGACGCACTAGCACCTAGAGCAGCAGCCTTACCACCACCTAGAGCAGCACCCTCAATGCCCGGGTCAGGCGGAACACACAGGTAACAGTCACCCTCATCACTAGTAGACACAACATACATGGCAGCAAGAATGGCATCATAATCGAGATTAAAGACAGCAACCCGCGACCTAAGCAGCTCGCCTCAGCGGGGGATCTCAGTGGCGTCAGGGAACTGGAGACGCCAAACGTCCGTCAGACGGCCGAAGCAGCGCTGGGTGGTGTGCGGGCCACCGCACGGCTCACCAGTGCGGTCGCCGGTACGCAGGACGTAGGCACAAGGACCAGCATCCCCACCCCGCTGACGCGCAGAGTACCACTCACGAAGCTGCTGGGGGGGGGGGGGGGTCTCACGAGTGCGGAGCTGCTGCTGGCGCTGACCACCACCGAAGCCGCCCCGCTGCGCAGAGCCACCCCGACCAGCTCCACCTCCGCCGCCGCCACCTCCGCCACCGCCGCCACCGCCTCCTCCTCCGCTCCCACCGCCACCGCCGCCGCCGCCTCCGCCTCCACCGCCGCCACCGAAGCCCCCACCCCCGCCACCACTCCCACCACCACCCCCACTCCCTCCGCCTCCTCCACCGCCACCTCCACCGCCCCCGCCAGCCCCTCCAGCGCCCTTGCCCCCCTTGCCCTTGCCGGTGCGGCGTCGCCCGCTAGGGGCAGACGCAGCGCCGACCGACTCGGTGCCAACGAAGTCGACGGCAGGAGCAGAGGCAACAGAGGGCAAAAGGGGGGAGGGGGAGCACCCCTCAAAGACGGGGGCACGAGGGTCACCACGAGAGGCTCCAACAGCGACTATACTCTTCTCAGCTGCCAGGAGGCGCTCCTCGAGGAGGTCAACGGTGAGTGTGGTGGGGCAAACAGAGAGGAAGTGGTCCCTGACCGAGCGAAGGGAGTCAAGGAGCCGGGTGACTATGTAGTAGAGGGTGATGTACATGGGGGGGGGGGTTCTTGGCGCAGAACTCAGCAGGAAGCGCAGCGTGGTAGCGGGTGTCACTAGTGCGAAGGTGCGTAACGAGGTCAGCGACAGTGGGAAAGGCGGCGAGGTCAGGAAACAGGTACGGCAGCATGAGGCGGCTAAGGGCAGCAGTGGCAGGGGAAGAGTAGCATTCAACTACAGCATCGTACAAGGTCTTAGCGCTCTTGTACTGACTAAAGTGCGTGCGCTCAGTGGACGGCAAGTGACTACGCACAGCAAGACGGGCAGCAGCATCGCGTGTGGCCCACTGTGAGCGAATAGTGCTGTCAGCATCGGCAGCAGGGGCAGCAGAGGCGCCAGACTTGAGATCGAACTGTGAGAGACCGTCCTTCCTATCGCACTGTAGGAAAAGCTGTAGATCATGGACCCAAACCTCAAAGTCAACAACCCGACCCTCAACTCAAAGACTAGAACGCTAGGGGTAGCCATGACAGCAGTGGCAGCAGGCTAGGGGCAGCAGTAGCGGGCGTGGCTCGGCAGTGCTCTTACCAGGGCTGGTAGGTAGGGGCCGGCAAGTGGTGGGGCAGGGCCGAGGCGCGTCGGCAGGGACAGAGCCGGGACCGCGGCGGCAGCTCCTGCTGTCAGTGGCGGCGGCAGTCGCTTCTGTCGGCGGCGACGGCTGCTGCTAGTGGCGGCCGCGGCTGCTGTCGGCGGCGTCTGCTGCTGTCAGCTTCTGCTGGCGGCGGCGGCAGCTGCTGCTGGTGGCGGAGGAGCCGAGAAGGGGCCGGGAAGGGTGGCGAAGGGGCCACGAAGGGCGGCGACGGGGCCAAGAAGGGGTCGCGAGGGGCCTCGAAGGGCGGCGACGGGGCCGCTAGGGGCGGCGACGGGGCCGCGAAGGGCGGCGACGGGGCCAAGAAAGGGCGGCGACGGGGCTGTGGAGGGGCCGCGAGGGGCCTCCAAGGGCGGCGACGGGGCCGATAGAGGCGGGGACGGGGCCGCGAAGGGCGGCGACGGGGCCGCTAGGGGCGGCGACGGGGTCGCGAAGGGCGGCGACGGGGCGGATAGCGGCGGCGTCGGGGCCGCAAAAGGGCGGCGACGGGGCCGTAACGGGCGGCGACGGGGCCGCGAGAGGCGGAAACGGAGCCGCGAGGGGCGGCGACGGGGCCGATAGGGGCGGTGACAGGGCCGCGAAGGGTGGCGATGGGGCCGCTAGGAGTGGCGACGGGGCCGCGAGGGGCGGCGACGGGCCGCGAAGGGCGGCGACGGGGCCGCTAGGGGTGGCGCGAGGGGCCGTGAGAGGGGCCTCTAGGAGGGCGCGACGGGCCGCTAAGGGCAGGGGACGCGACGAGAGGGCGGCTCACGGGGCGCGCCTCGAGTAGGGGCGACTCGCGCTTCGGTCATTTTTTTTTTTTTTTTTTTTTTTTTTTTCGATTTTCAGTGGTGGGCCTTAGGAAGGTTCCCACTAGGGAACCTGCTCTACACCATGTGAAGAAATGAGGAATGATTTACTAGAGGAAAGGGTTGGGTACAAGTACAAACCCTAGAAATGTGTTGTATCCCATATGTGCTACTCCACTATAGCCTACACAGGCTAAGTCATATGAGTCTGACAAGTCTGACGAATCAGACAGCCCCAAAACGAATCTGAGGGCCTGATCTTCACTATGCTTCACCCTATTTCCAGTTCCAATTTGTCGCAAAAAGTGTGCGACATCTATTTGCGAGTTTTCATGCCTTCGAAAAAAGGTGTAAACAGAGCATTTGCCTTACAGATTTTATCAAACACTTCATATGTGGTGAAGTGAGGAGAGTGTGAAACGTCTGTACACGTGAAGTGCACATTACCTCCTGTATCGAGTCGAAACCCTCTGTGGATCTCTGCAGCATTGGTGGAAAGGAACCTTGCAATGACAAATGACATTTCGAGGCGTCTCGGGGCTAGCTCCACGTGACTTTCTCAGACCACCGATTGGTTAAAGCTGCCAGCAGATGAAGCCACCTCAACTAGCACATTTAGACGGTAGTGCTCGGCGCGCAAAGGGATGTCCGTTGTTCTGACCCTTGCACATTGCGCACCGCGAGGGATGCCAACCAAGCAAAACTTCAGGACGCGGCACCTCAAGCAATTTTGCACGATCGATCGCAGGATCACTGATTCAACCGTACGGAAAACCTTGTAAAAGTCTTTAAAGCTTTTGAAACCATTTAAAACTCCTAAAACATTCGATCCTGCGCAGGTTCGATTGCAGGGTCGGTGCTGGAGGTGCCGCGTCCTCATCATCGCAATTCCCCGTCGCCTTTTCGGCCAGCCCACGCGTCACGAAAACATGTTTGAGAAGGTAACCTGCTTCGCAGAGCTCTTTTTGCACGTCGTAAGCTGCCACTTTCGTACAAACCTTCCACAAACGGGAACCTTCCCGTTCCTGCCTCTCCTGCCGCCATAACCTTCTATCCTAGCTGACGTTCCACAGATTCCATTTTGCTAGCACAAAAATCTTATAAGCATTAGTAAAGTTCCGCCATGGCTGTCGCCGCTTTACGCGAAGGCATCGTTACTGGTAGTACTGGCTTGTTCCTGCGGCCTCAGATTTTTTCTGTGCGCCCTGCTCATTACGCGAAATCACCGCTTTTCGTTCGTCCATCGCGAGCCGATAGTTCAAGAATCCGGGCCGTGAGGTACAGGAAGCATCATGAACCGCGGCAGCAGTGTTACGCGTCCTTTCGATTTTCGCCACCGCCAGGCGACGAGGTGGTTTGTAACAACGTTACCCGGACGCGTTACCGCGAGGTCCCTCATCCCGTTAGCGAAAAAGATTACCGTCGCCTAATCCGTTGTCAAGCACAGTCTGCAATATCCGTAACCAGCGATTTGGACTCTTCGCCCAGCGAAACCGCAACGGTTACCACCAAGGCGTTACGACTCGTCGTCCCGCTGGTGGGGGTCGCAGCTTTTGCAGCAGGCGTCAGGGCTAACTGGCGATTCTTCAGCAGCGAATGGTTCTTGACGATATTAGCGAAATTAATTGGGTACATCCTAATCACCGCATCGACGGTGCTGAAGCTTCCCCAGGTGCCGATCTCAGCCCTGCTCGTTTCGTTAGGGGCTCATTTCGTTTTAAGGCCTAACTGTGAGTCAGTGGCTTCCAATCGTGCCGAGTCGCTGCGATCTCGTTCATCATAACCGTCGCACGATTGTCGTCGCTGATCTTATCTCACTGCCGCGCCTCGAAACATCAGCGTGATCGGCGGCCTGATTGTTTCTATTCTATGTTTTTTATACCATTAATATTATTACGTTATATTCTGGAATGCATTAGCGGATCATCGAGGGGTTGAGCGTGTCATCTTCGAGCTGAAGTGCCTGGTCTACACCGTTCTACACCGTAAATATAACCGCTGTATCTCTCTGTACCACTCTCCTGTCTGCAGATCATCCGCATAGTGCGGAGCAACAGTATCGAGGGCCTGAGCGTCCCATCGTTCGAGATGGAGTGTGTGGGCTACACCATCTCGCTGCTCTTCTGCTGGACGCGCCGCGTGCCCTTCAGTGCTTATGGCGAGCTCTTCTTCCTCGTACTCCAGTGTGAGTCGTCGCCTGTGTGTGTGACTGTAACGAGATAGAGTGTGTGGCCAACACCCTTTTGCTGCTCTTCTGCTGGATGCGTAGTGTGCTGTTCAGTGCCTATGGCGAGCTCTTCTTCCTCATGCTCTAATGTGAGTGAGTTACCAGCGTGACTGTAACGAGGAGAGTTTATCTGTCTGCTCAACTCGCAGTGTACCCTTCAGTGCCTATGGCAAGCTCTTCTTCCTCGTGCTTCAGTGTGAGGCAACAGTGTGACTAAAACGAGCGGTGTTTCTTTGTCCTCCAATTTGAGTCACCGGTGTGACTGTAACGAGCTCTTCTTTTTTGTGTTCCAATGTGAGACTCGCTGGGTGTGCTAATGACGAGCGGTTTTTTTTTTAATTATTATTATTCAGTTTGTTCACATGATCTACCTTTGCTTCCATTTAGTTTTCCCTTTCTCTCCTTCTGTAGCTTTCCAATACACGCGTCATCTTACGAGCTATTGACTTTCTCCTCTCATTCTTCTTTACATTGTTCCCGTCCTTCTCCTTCCTTTGTGCTTCTCTGCAGCGCTCATTCTCATGCTGCTGATTTATTTCCATTCCCCAAGACTGGGCCGCCAGAGATACCTGAGGGCCGGCATGTACGTATACATGCATCCCTAGTCCATTTTCAAGCCCTATTCTCCGTGCTACCCAAGGCTGAGTCGCCATAAATTCCCGAGAGCTCGCATGTCCGTCTATATTTAGCACTATTCGGCCCACCTCCCCCTCAAACTTCTTATCCCTCCCCCACAATATTCCTCCCCATTCCTGCCATCTTCCCCCCCCCCCCCCCCCCCCCCCCTCTCCGCTACATGGGCATGGTGGCACTCCTCGTGTCACCAGCCATGCGCCCCGACTGCTTCGAATCCGTCTAATGCAATGCTGCCCCTTCCCACCAACCACCCTCCCAACCTCTCTCCCCCTCCACCCATCGTCCCCCCCATCAGCTACATGGGCATGGTAGCACTCCTCCTGTCACCAGCCATGCGCCCCGACTGCTTCGAAGCGCTCTATGTGAGTCATATTCTGTGTGCCTGAGGTGACTTTTGAGTCGACTCAAAAACCAGCCATGCGCTCCGACTGGTTTGAAGCCCTCTATGTGAGTCATGTCCGTGTGACTGTACGTTAAGTGCCTATGTGATTTATTTGTGTGACTGTACGGGGAGTCACGCAAGTTATCCGAGTTTATCCCCTCCCCTTCATTTCAGTCTTTCCTCAAACTCCTCTTTGCACCTTCACCCGACGCTGTCACAATCTCTCTCCGCTCATTTCTTTCTCATCCTTCCCTTCCATTGCAGTTCTCATTCCCACCTTCCACGCATTTCACCCCCTCTCAGGCTCTCTTTTCGCTCACAAAGGCTCGCTCTCTCTTGCATTACATTCTGTCATACGCAGAACGGGCAGACGGCTCTTTTCACACTCTCAAGACTACCGCAGATGTGGCAAAACTTTGTGGTGAGTCTGCTTGTAACGCAGATCTATTACGTCTCCACCTCCTCAGAACGGTTGTTATTTATGCATTCTGTGCCGTCCATTTCATCCTCTTTTTTTTCTGCGCTCACTCAAATACCTCTTCCAATCCCGTACTGTTGGCTTGCCCTTCTGAGTCCTCCAGCACGGGTCAGCTTTCTCTCTCCACCAGTGCCATGAGCGCAGCAGGGGGTGTGCAGCAGGGGGTGTGCATGAGATACATAAGTTTCCCTGCACACACCTCTCTTGTCATTCTCCTCCCCTTCCCCTCTCTTCTGTGTCTCTCAGTCCGCCAGCACGGGTCAGCTGTCTCTCACCACCAGTGCCATGAGCGCAGCAGGGTGTGCAGGTCTGTATGTCACACTGTGCTGCTGGGTTTACTCGTTTGTGCGGATGAATCTAAATTGCAATTGTAGTAAATGCCATGAGCGCAGCAGGGTGTGCAGGTCCGTATGTTTCTCCGTGCTTCTGCTTTTCTCATCTTTACAATTTCGAGTGAATCCAAAAGGCGATTACAAACAAGGTGTTTTCCTATTTGGGTCTTTTTGTTTTCGTTTTCGCAATGACGGTCAGTATCATGTCAATACTAGTGTGCTAACGGTCCCCCGTTTCTTCATCTCTTCTGTTGTGTGCTTCTACCACTCCTCTTTTCCCTCTGCGGTTGTGTTTCTGCCCTTAACAGCCCGATTCTTCACCAGCATACAAGAGAGAGCGCCTTTCAGCAGTAAGTTTTGAGTCTGTTAGTTTAGGGGCGCCTTAAGAGAGAGCGCCAGTCCGCAGTGGGCTGCCCCTCTCCCTTCATTGGCACATGCAGTTGGAAGCTTTGTCTTCCTCCTTTCCGCTTGTCTCCACGCGGTGCTGATATGAGGCATGGCTGGCTTTATGGCTGTTAAGATGTTCTCTTGGGAACCACCTGCCTAACTTGACTGACTGTTGGGCTGTCTGGCTGTCTCCCTTACGCTTCTCACAGTGGTGATAGCAAGCACGGCTGGCTTCATGGCTCACGGGGTGCTGCTTGCTCAGATCCTCGCTTACAGCAAGCCAGCAATTCAAGCAACGCAGCAAACAGCAGCAGATACCAAGCAAGCAGCACTGCCAGGCATACCCGCATCGGGCCTCCCTCCTCCTACCGCATCGGAGTAAATTCCTTGACCGTGCATACCATATGGCATCCATTGTCAGTACTAGAGTGCAAATGCGGCAGCACCGAGCAGGCAGCCTTGGCGCTTTCCAGCATCGGGCCTCCCTCCTCCTACCGCATCGGAGTAAATCAGTTGACCATGCACATCGTATCACATGCACTGAAAGCACTAGAAGGCAAATGCATCTATGGGAGTTCCATGAATGCTCTCTATATGAAGTTGTGTAACGTAATAAGTCTGTAAATATCTTTGTTTATGATTTTTCCAGTGTACTAAGCTTTCCTACCCCTAGCAACGAGATTACTAGTTAGGTCCCTCTCCCCTGACACTGGCGCTTTATGTGGACTAATGTTGGCCAATAACGGGGATGGAAAGCCACGTCAATATCTAGGTCCATTCCATTTCCATTCCCAATTCTCATTATTGACCAGTTGTAAGGAATTTTCTCAGGCATTCCTTACGGAGCCGACTACATCGCGTACAGCAACAGCCGACTGTTCGCCCGTTACTGCTAACGGAACTTCGCCGACTTCGCGCGCACTGTTTTGACCAAACCTCGCACTGCTGGCATGGCCGTATCGGCCTACGGTTCGGGACTAGCCCGAGCCTCGCTCCAGCGTAGCACTAGCAAGTTCGCACGCACCGCGTTACCGTTTTGCATGTTTCGCGTATAAATGCTCGCTCATGCCTTCGCTCACATTTTGTACTCGTTTGACACCTTAGTGCAATTCTCGCTACCTCGATCCATTGCACCCGTAACACTTGGTATCAGAGCCCCTTTCTTTCGGACCGCGCATCTCCGCACACCAGGAAATCAACTTTTGATTTTTCACTCGAAGGGACTCACGCACCTTAGCCCCTAGGAGCCGCTGTCCTCGCGTTCTCTCGTAAACGCGTGCAGCCACGACTGCGCCTAGACTAAGACGAGCCGACGCCCTTCGTCATGGCCGAAAACATCGACGTCACCACCCTCACGCAGGAGCGTTTGAACGATCTGCTGCGACAACTGCACGAAAGCTCCGAGGAAATCGCGGCATTGACGGCAGAACGCTCATCACTGCAAAATGACCTCATGAGAGCACAATCCCAAGCACCTGGCACTCCGATTCAACCTGCACCCTCAACATCACAACACGGGAGTGTGGGGCAACCCGTGAGCGCGGCCAGTGATGGCGTCGTCCGCCCCGACGGAGACGACGACCACGGCACGACACACCCCAGAGCGACGCCTGCGGCCCCAAGTCAGCCTCGCGTCACGATTTCGGCACCAACCCACGATTCGGGACTGCCGTCACCGATGCCGCAGAAACCGCAGCGCCCGCCATGCTTTGACCCGAGTCAACGGGGTGGTCCTACCGTTCAGGCGTGGTTATTCACAATGAATGTTTTCTTCGACGCCAACTACGTCTCGGAGGACTCGGCGAAGATTCGATACGCCGTGTCGTTGCTGCGAGGACCCGCCATGGACTGGTGGCGCGTCATCGTCACGAAGCCGACCGACTACGCGACACTACCGACACGGGAAGGACAAACCGGACCCTGGGCGCCGTCGTATTTCGTGGAGGTGCCCCAGTATCGCACGTGGGACGCGTGGTGCGCAGGTCTGCGCGCTCGATTTGAGCCAATCGCGGCCTCGATCTCGGCGCGACAGAAGCTCCGCACTTGGCGCCAACTCGGTTCCGTCCAGGATTACACGAGCGGATTTCTGGCGCTATGCGAGCAGGTGGGCTACATGCATGAGAGCGAACGCATCGACCGCTACATCGGCGGCCTGAAGCAGGACATCGCTCAGGAAATCCAGCTTCGCGGCGTCACTGAGTTTCAGGAAATTCTCGCTATGGCGGAGAAGCTCGACTTCTTTCGCCGACCGAGACCGGGGTCCTACGGAAACAACACCTGGGGACATCGGCCTCGTGGGACGAACGAGAGCGCCACGATACGCGCCGTCGCCGCAAATGCCGCTGCTGCACCGTTCAAAGGGCGCTGCTTTGCGTGCAATCGGCCGGGACATCGCAAGAGCGAATGCCCGGAAAACGCTAAGGGAAAGGGGGAAGCTGAGCAGCAGACACAGACCAAGCAGCAGGGAAACGCTGGAAGTCAGTAGCAGACGGGCCCTCTACTGACAGGTCACGCCGCTCGCCCGACCCAACCGACCCTCACCGAGTGATTGTGCCGGTTCACGCAATCGACCACACCCGGCCGAATAAGGAGGGTACCACGGTAGATAGCCCTATACTGCTCAGTGGAAAAATTGGGACGGACTTAGTTAAAATCTTCGTAGATGGGGGAGCCAGCCACAGCCTCATTAACACTGCTACAGCACGAAAACTGCGACTGCCACTGGACCGATGCTTACCTGAGATCGACGCACGACTGGTAGACGGCACGCCGCTGGCAATACGGGAACGCGTAGACCGAGTTCGGATTCGATGCGGGGGTAACTTCACGTTTAGTCAGGAAATGCTCGCAACGACCCTCGACGGAACCGACATTTTACTCGGGCGTGATTGGCTGCGACGACACAACCCGCGAATTGACTGGACGACGGGTGACTGCACCGTGCGAGTGAACGGTAACAGCATCGCCTTACCTCGCTGGGGCTCGCCTGAGTCTTCGTCGGTGCGTGTCAATGCGATCACGATGAAACGCGCTGTTGCGGCCGGAGCCGACGTGTACGCGGTTGACATTCGGGAAGCCGAGGCAGCAGACAAGGGAGGCGATTTACAGAAACTGCTGACCGACGTACCGAGTGACCTGGCGGCACTGTTACAACAATACAGTGACATTTTCCCGGATGACCTGCCGACGGGACTGCCACCTCAGCGACCGCACGATCACAGGATAGAACTGGAACCGGGGGCACAGCCAACAGTACAGCGACAGTTCCGACTGACCCAACCCGAACTAGACGAACTAAGGAAGCAGCTCGATTACCTGCTAGAAAAGGAATTCATTCGCCCTAGTTCGTCGCCTTTCGCCGCACCAATACTGTTCACACCGAAAAAAGACGGGGGTTTTCGCATGTGCATCGACTACAGGGCACTGAACAGGGTTACCATCAAATCCCGTTACCCCATCCCACGAGCCGACGACCTGATCGACCAACTGCGCACAGCCCGGGTTTTCTCGAAAATCGACCTCCGAGGAGGCTACCACCAAATCCGCGTCAACCCACCCGACTGCCCTAAAACCGCATTCCGAACACGCTACGGATCCTTCGAATACACCGTCATGCCATTCGGACTGACCAACGCCCCCGCCACTTTCCAAATGACCATGAACGAAGCATTCCGCCCGCTTTTAGACAAGTGCGTCATCGTTTATCTGGACGACATACTGATTTACAGCCCTGACAGAGCACAGCACTTACAAGACATCGAAGCAGTTTTTAAAATCTTGAGTGAGAACCGCCTACTGACCAAAGCATCTAAGTGTGAGTTTTTACAGGACCGCCTGGAGTTTTTGGGACATGTTATTTCAGCTGCAGGAGTGGAAATAGACCCGAAGAAAATTGCGACGATTCAGGCTTGGCACGCGCCGACCAACTTGACCGAGTTGCAGAGTTTCCTGGGGTTCGTCAACTACGTGCGCCGGTTCGTCCCCGACATGGCGAAACTGACTGCCCCGTTGACTGACCTGCTGAGGAAGGGGGTTGAGTACACGTGGGGGGAGAAAGAGCAAGCTGCCTTCTCGGCCCTCAAAAATATTTTGTGCTCCCCGCCCGTCCTTCACATTGCAGATCCCCACCGTCCGTTCGAGCTCGTCACCGACGCAAGTGACATCGCTGTGGGAGCAGTACTGTTGCAGGATTTCGGGAATGGCCTCCAGCCAATCGCGTACGAGTCCCGCAAGTTACACCCGCCCGAACGTAACTACCCGATACACGACCGCGAGATGCTAGCGATCGTGCACGCGTTCAAAGTTTGGCGATGTTACCTGACTGGTGCCGACGTGACAGTACGGACAGACCACCGCTCGCTACAGTACCTTCGCGCCCAACCGAATCTCAACCCACGACAGATTCGCTGGTTGGACTATCTCGAGTCCAATTTTCACTACACCGTCACGTACAAAAAAGGAGCATCCAACATCGCCGACGCTCTCACCCGCCCCACCGCCCAACTCCACGCCATCCTACTCGCCCAGACCAACCCGCTTTTAACTGGCCTATTCACCCACGGATACCGCACCGACCCATTTTTCACGACCGGAAATTCACAGCAACTGGCAGAAGCAAAAGGAGTTTATTACGTAAAAACAGGCACCAACCGCATTTGGGTACCCGCGTACTCACTACTGAGGGAGCTGCTACTGCAGGAGGCACACGACGGGATTACCTCGGGACATTTCGGGGTAGAAAAAACACGACAGCAACTGCAGCGGTACTATTACTGGCCGGAGCTGTTGACCGACGTACAGCAGCACGTGGGCTCGTGCCCGACGTGTCAGGTGATGAAGAGTTCAAGGAAGCGGAAGGCGGGTCAATTGCAACCGATCCCACCGCCCGAACGCGCCTGGCAGCAAGTAACCATGGACTTCGTCACAGGGTTACCTTCGAACCCTGGGGGTAACGACGCGGTGATGGTCGTCGTGGATAGGTTGACGAAGATGGCACACTTCGCTGCGTGCAAAAAGTCGATCTCAGCCGAAGAGACCGCTCGCCTGTTCATCGCAGCCGTTGTTCGCCTGCACGGGATACCAGCAGCAATTATCAGCGACAGGGACACGAAGTTTACTAGCAACTTCTGGAAGAACCTCTGGGAGCAGTTCGGGACCAGGCTACAGTTCAGTTCGTCGTACCACCCCGAGACCGACGGCCAAACGGAGCGGACGAATCAGACGATGGAGCAGTTGATTCGTGCCACGTGCGACGACCCCACGACCTGGGAGCAGCAGCTGCCGCTGATCGAGTTCGCGTACAACAACGCCACATCAGCCACGACGCAGCAGTCCCCGTTCTACCTGAACTATGGGCAGAACCCCACAGTGCCCATGACGCCGAGTCCGGACAACCCAACGCCACGCGCACAACAATTCGCCGAAATCCTGCAAGCTGCCCGCGCCAGAGCCGCCGAAGCAATAAAAAAGGCCAACGTCATCGCTAAGCGCAACGCTGATCGCCACCGCCGCCCCCGTCACGTATCAATCTGGAGATTACGTGCTACTCGACACGCAAAATCTGCGACTGCCCGACGTACCAAAATTACGACCGCGCTACTGTGGACCATTCCAAATCAGTCACATGATCACACCCGTCACCGCGCACCTACTGTTGCCAATTGACTGGTACATCAGCCCTTCGTTCCACGTCAGCCTACTTCGCCCATACATCCCGACCACGAGTCAACTGCCGCGTCACCGGCCACAATCAATGACTCGCCCTGCATCAGAGCCGATCATCGAGCCCGAAAAATTTTTGAGCCATCGGATCCGCCACCCCACGGGAATCAGGAGGATTGAATTCCTCGTTCGCTGGAAAGACCGCACGCCAACTGAAGATAGCTGGGTGCCCCTGAGCAACATCGAAAATCACCCTGCCCTGCAAGTGTACTTGAGAAGCCGGGGATTCCGCGATATACACGCACTCGCGTAGCGGAGGGGGCTTCTTAAGGGGGGGGGGTAGTGTAAGGAATTTTCTCAGGCATTCCTTACGGAGCCGACTACATCGCGTACAGCAACAGCCGACTGTTCGCCCGTTACTGCTAACGGAACTTCGCCGACTTCGCGCGCACTGTTTTGACCAAACCTCGCACTGCTGGCATGGCCGTATCGGCCTACGGTTCGGGACTAGCCCGAGCCTCGCTCCAGCGTAGCACTAGCAAGTTCGCACGCACCGCGTTACCGTTTTGCATGTTTCGCGTATAAATGCTCGCTCATGCCTTCGCTCACATTTTGTACTCGTTTGACACCTTAGTGCAATTCTCGCTACCTCGATCCATTGCACCCGTAACACCAGTCAGTCTGTCCCTGACCACAATCCATCCGAGAGGAAATGGAATCCTTCAACCACCAAGCAGCGCTTTCCGCCTGCTCCGCTCCGCCAGCTTCCGCTTCCCTTCCCCTAGCCGCTCCGCGTGCGCGTCTCCCCGCGCTTTTCCGCGTTTCCCGAGTCCCTCCGCGCCATCTAGCGCGGATAATCGCTCGTGGGAGTCATCATAAGTTGCTCGCGCGTTTTCCGCTGCTCTCCTCTTCCCGCACTCCCCGCGCTCTTTCCGCGCCGTCCTCTCCGCTCCGCGCTGCCCGCGCGCCGGAAATCAGGCGCGCGCGCCGAAGGGAAGCATCAGTGCGGGCGGAAGCAGTGATCGACGGTGGCGATTCGGTGGGAGATGGCGCGTCGGTGGAACGAACGGCTGCGATCGCGCGTCCCGCGATCAGGAAAATGGAGGCCGGGAGGCGGGGCGCGAACGGAGCGCGGAGAGGAATCTGGAGGAGAGAAGGAGGGCAGGGGCGTCAGGGGAGGTCTTCTGGTACAGGCGCAAGGATGAGGAAGGGGGCGGAAGGGGAAGGGGTAGCAGGGGCAGATGCAGGGGGCGAAGGGGTAGCAGGGGCAGATGCAGGGGGCGAAGGGGTAGCAGGGGCAGGGGCAGATGTCAACGGGACAAGTGCTCTTTCTTCGCCTGACTCTCTCACAAGTGACGCCAGAAGCTTCCGAGATGTTGCCGCCTACTGTGTCAGTTGCTTCTTCCCTTATCCTGCTCTACTCACCTCCTCTCACTCCCTCCTTTCACTCTTTCCACTCACTCCCTCCCTTCACTCTTTCCTCTCACTCCCTCCCTTCACTCTTCCTCTCACTCCCTCCCTTCACTCTTTCCTCTCACTCCCTCCTTTCACTCTTTCCTCTCACTCCCTCCCCTCACTCTGGTCCAGAGCTCTCTTTCTCCTCCCAGGCCCTTCACTATTTCCCTTCCACCCTCTCCTCGCCTCGTACCTCCTTTATTCACAGAACCACCACCTTCATATCCTCACCATTCTTACTTCCATTCCATTCCATTCACCCCCGCGCTATTTCGCATCCTCATTCCGCCCCTCCTTGTTTCCATCTCTATCACCAATCCCTGCTGCTCACTCTCTCCCCCACCGCGTGGGACGAAGCTATCTTTTGATTTGAGTCATCTCAATAATCTATCCCTTGCGTTTTTCCACCTCTATCACCTCTGGCAGGTGGAAACAGTGCTGCTCACTCTCTCTCCCCACCGCCACATACGCCAGAAGCAGCAGCAGAAGCAGCAGCAAGAGCGGATGAAGGACGGACGGTTGAACATAAGAACGCTTGCGGACTGGCTAAAGAGCGATCACAGGCACTTTCATGCCGTGGTGAAGGTGGGTGGGTTGGGTACACTGAAGTGCCACCACAGGCACTGGCACTGGCACTGACACTGGCTGGCACTGACACTGGCTGGCACTGACACTGGCTGGCACTGACACTGGCTGGCACTGACACTGGCTGGCACTGACACTGGCTGGCACTGACACTGGCTGGCACTGACACTGGTTGGCACTGACACTGGCTGGCACTGACACTGGCTGGCACTGACACTGGCTGGCACTGACACTGGCTGGAACTGACACTGGCTGGCACTGACACTGGCTGGCACTGACACTGGCTGGCACTGACACTGGCTGGCACTGACACTGGCTGGCAGGCTCTGACACTGGCTGGCACTGACACTGGCTGGCACTGACACTGGCTGGCACTGACACTGGCTGGCACTGACACTGGCTGGCACTGACACCGGCTGGCACTGACACTGGCTGGCACTGACACTGGCTGGCACTGACACTGGCTGGCACTGACACTGGCTGGCACTGACACTGGCTGGCACTGACACTGGCTGGCACTGACACTGGCTGGCACTGACACTGGCTGGCACTGACACTGGCTGGCACTGACACTGGCTGGCACTGACACTGGCTGGCACTGACACTGGCTGGCACTGACACTGGCTGGCACTGACACTGGCTGGCACTGACACTGGCTGGCACTGACACTGGCTGGCACTAACACTGGCTGGCACTGACACTGGCTGGCACTGACACTGGCTGGCACTGACACTGGGTGGCACTGACACTGGCTGGCACTGACACTGGCTGGCACTGACACTGGCTCTGGCTCTTAAAACAACACCTCACCTGAGCACTTGCTAAGAATTGACCACAACAAGCATTCCCACGCTGTGGTGAAGGTGCGTGGTTAGTGGGAGAGCAAGAAGGAACCTGCTTTTTGAACCTTTCTGCCTCTCGGCCTCTCCCAGATGAATTACAAGAACCCAGCCCGTCCTGCCATCTCCCTCTGTCTCTCCCTTTTTTCCACTTCCCTGAACCAAGGGTTTGTCTCGTTATCGAAATAAACAGGCAGTCGCCGAATTGATGGAAGCAAGGCCTCCGCAACCCACCTGTCCTTCACTGAAGGTTCATGCCGTCTCCTTTTTTTCTCCGTTTCCTGCCACGATTATACAGAGGTTAGGAGTGATTGGCCAGGGAGAAGCAGCGTGGAAGCTTCTCCAATGCCTAGAAAACGACACGTGGGAAGCTGAAGCAGCGGCGGCAAAAAGAGCGACAGAAGGAGCGACAGCCGATGCAGCAGCAAAGGCAAGAAACGCTGGTGGTAGCAGTAGCAGCAGTGATTGTAGCAGCAACAGCAGCAGCAGTGGTAGCAGTAGTAGTAGAAGCAGAGGGGAATTGTGGAGGGGGAGTGTAGCGCATTACACTGACGTCCTGGTAGCATTGGGAAGGCTGGATGGGAGAGGGAAGAGTGCTTTGGAAGGAACAGGCAAGGGTAGGGGAGAGGGGCGAGGGAAAGGTAAGTCAGAGGGGAAAGGGGATGGGAGAAGTGGAGGAGCGAAGAGGCAGGAGAGGCGGACGGATGGAGTGAAAGGGAGTGAGGAGTTGTGCGATTTGCGAGGAGTGGATGGTGCTTTGCTGCTGCTGAGACGGATGGAAGAGGAGGGAGAGGATGGGATAGGGGCTGGTGGGATAAAGGAGCAACATGGGTCTGTTGTCCCCCCTGCTGTTTCCCCTCCTGTTGCTGCCCCCCCTGCTTCTCACCCATCTGCTGCTGCTGCCGGTGCTGCCCCTGCTCCTGTCCCTGCTCCTGACCCTGTTGCTGCCTCTACTGCTGCCACTGCTGCTGCTCCTCCTCCTCCACTCCCTGTGCCTGACATAACAGCATACAACGCAGTTCTATTCGCCTTGTGTGAAGCTGGGAGGGTGCAAGAGGCAGAGAGCATGGTGCAGGCACTGCTTGAAAGGGGGAGGGCGTGCGGGGAAGGGGAAGGAGGGGAAGGAAGGGAAGGAAGGGAGCACATGAAACCGGATGTGCTTTGTGAGGAAGGAGAGGCGAACGCGATGCATATAAACGCCACAGATGGAGTGGGGGGAGGAGGGAGGAGTGTGAAACCGGATGTGTATTCATACAGTGTGTTGCTGGGGGCGTATGCAAGGGAGGGTGATTGGAGGAGGGCGGAGGCGGTATGGGGTGACATGGTGGCACGTGGCGTGGAGGGCAGTGACGTGGCTGCATGCAAGGTGACGTGGATAGGTGCAAGGTGACGTGGATAGGTGCAAGGTGACGTGGATAGGTGCAAGGTGATGTGGAATGCTTTCAAATGACGTGGATAGATGCATGATGAAGGAAGCCAAGAGCCCACGTATAGATTTGTACACTTTATACAATTTATGAGTTTACTTGTGTTCAGATAGCCATTCATTTTTACCGTATTTCCGTGCGTGTTTTGCAGCTCATATTGGCCTACAAGAACGGAGGGCAGTGGAAGAAAGCTGTTGAATTCCTTGACTCATTTGACTGGCAGCTGGACAGTAGCAATGGCAGCAACAGCAGCAGTGGTAGCAACAGCAGCGCCATAAGCAAGGAAAAGGGGAGACCTGGGGAAAAGGACGAGTGGCTGGATGTTGCTGCAGAAGAGGGTAAAGATGAGGAGGAGGGTAAAGATGAGGAGGAGGGTTATGGTGGCGGCAATGACAAAAGGCAGCCATTCGTTGACCCCACCATTCAGAAGGGGCGTGAAGGGCAAGAGGAGCAAGAAGGGCGTGAGGGGTGTGAGGGGTGGGAGGGGCGTGATGGAACGTCCAGTGGCAGTGCATTGGAATTTGCAAGTGTGACGGCAATGCGGGCTGCAGCAACAGGCAGGGCGCCGTGGGCCGTGGTGAAAGGGGTGTTCTGTGGCTTGTGTGACAAGATGGGCGCGCATAGAGTGTCGGTGAGTGGGTGTGATGGGTGGGGTTGATGGGTGGGGGTGATGGGTGGGGGTGATGGGTGGGGGTGATGGGTGGGGGTGATGGGTGGGGGTGATGGGTGGGGGGGAGGCAAGAGAAAGAGAGCCTCCACGTCTTACGTCTACCGCAACCTCTGCCCCCCCTCTCACATTCTCCTCTGCCCCCCCTCTCACATTCTCCTCTGCCCCCCCTCTCACATTCTCCTCTGCCCCCCCTCTCACATTCTCCTCTTCCTCCCCTCCCTCCTCAACTCCCCTGCGTCTTTCCTGCTGTCCCTCTCGCCCCCATTGTCACCGGCAGGTCAAAGCATTCAACGAGTATCTCCACGTCTGCCAGCTGGCGCTGCCGCCCGCAGCCGCCCTCCCTGAGATGATTGCCGGGCTCCGGTGGATAGCACAGGCCGGCACTGTTGATGATGATGGTGATAATAACGGTGGCACTGTTCATGGTGGTGCGCCGCACATACTGCCGGACGCCGCCACCCTCAACACGCTGATGCCGGCAATGAGACGAGCCGGCCGGGCGGCAGCAGGGCTTCTGTTGTATGAGTTGCTGGTGGGGGGAGGGGAGGACAGAAAGAAAGACGGGGATTCGTTGGCAGGGGGACAAGAGGATAAGAGGGAAGGTGAGGAGTTGTTGGAAAAGGGAGAGGTGGATGGGAAGGAAGGGAGGGGAGGGGAGAGGGAGGGGAGGGAGAGTTGTGGGTTGACTTTGTCAGACTGGGCTCAATTCGGGCTAACAGGCAGGATGCAGGTGCTGGAGAGACAGCTTCGAGGGATGGAAGAGAGGAAGGAGATGAGGGAGCGGAGGGAGGGGAAGGAGAATGGGGAGAAGAGGGAGAGGAGGGGAGGGAAGGAAGGAAAGCAGGCTCGCATGGGGAGCGAGGAGGAGGGGGAGAGGGGAGTGAGAGAGCTGCTAGGCTTGCTGGAAGCAGCTCGAGGGGTGAATTGTGAGTCAGTGCGAAAGGATCGAACGAATACGGCTCAAGGAGGTGCTTATAACGGGGCTCTGTTGGAAGGCGTCGACTGGCAAATGAAGGTGCTGGTGGAGCCGGACTGTGTGACTGTAACGGAAGTAATTCTAGCAAAGGTGGCGCTAGGGAATGATGACGAAGCGTTGGAGGTGTTTTGGGAGGCTGTGGGGGGGAGGGAGGGGCGGATGGGTGGAGGAGGAGGGGGAAGGGGAAGCAGGTGCAAGAAGGGAGGCAGAGTTGATTCTCCCAAAGTTACTTGTCAGTCAACACAATCGCAGTCAACTCAGTCAACTCGGTCAACTCGGTCATCGCCTTCCCAGTCAACTCAGTCAACCAGGAGGTTACTCAAAGCGGACGCACACTTGTGCAGCGCTGCTCTGAGTGCGTGCCGGCGACGAGGGCTGTGGTGGGAGGCTGACAACGTGTGGGCACTTATGGAAAGAAGAGGGTGAGTTGGGTGGATGAGGTGGGGGATGGGGGATGAGAAGGGCGACAGGAGAGAGGAGAGGCGCAGATGAGAGGAGAGGCGCAGGTGAGTTGGGGGGTTTAAGAGGGAGAGGTACAGAGTGCAATTTGAAGGAATTTCAGACCATACCAGTTGAGAGCACTGAATGTGATGCCATCCCTGCCACCACTTGTTCCACCATACCTCTCCCCCACCTCCGCGTTTGTCACACCCCCCTGCTATCACCCCTGCTGCTCCTCCCACGCCTGCCCCCCCTCCTGCTCTCTCTCCCAGCATCCGCCCCACACCGGCGGTCCTGACAGGCCTGGTGGCAGGGATGGCACGGGCGGGGAGGAGAGAGCGGGCAGAGCAAGTGGTACAGAGTGCACAGGCAGCAGGAGTATTGCTGCAGCAGCAGACAGCCAACGCTCTGCTGGACGCCCTGGCGTCCTCAGGGGATGTGCGCCTCTCATGTCGCTGCTCATGCTCCCCTCCCCTGCTCTCCCCGCACCCCCTTCCCTCTCTCCCCGCACCCCCTTCCCTCTCTCCCCGCACCCCCTTCCCTCTCTCCCCGCGCCCCCTTCTCTCTCTACCAGCATCCGCCCCACACCAGCGTGCCTGACAGGCCTGGTGGCAGTGATGGCACGGGCAACAGCAGACAGCCAATGGTATCCCTCTCATGCTCCCCCTCCCTTGCTTTCCCCCCAACCCCTCTCTACCAGCATCCGCCCAACACCAGCGTGCGTGACAGGCCTGGTGGCAGTGATGGCACGGGCAGGGAGGAGAGAGCGGGCAGAGCAAGTGACAGAGCGCGCACTGGCATCTGGAATTGTGCTGCAGCAGCAGACAGCCAACGCTCTCCTGGACGCTCTGGCGTCCACAGGGGATGTGCGCCGCACTGCTGCTCTCTTCTCCCGCCTCTTCCTACCTCCCTTCCCCTCCTCTCCCTCTCCTACTGCGCGAGGCAAGGGGCGGCTGAAGGCCGGCCTGCAGGCGGACACGTTTTCCTTCAACGCTCTGCTGAAAGCCCATGCCAGACGACTGCAGGCGGTGGGATCGGGGCAATCAGTGCAGATGATGCAGTCAGTGCAGTCTATGGTGCTGCTGGGCGCCCCAAGGGACAGAAGAGTAGAGACTGGACCTGGAAGCAGCAAGGGGGACATAAAGGATAGAAGCACTGCCAACAGCACTGATGGCAGCAGCGAAACTGGCAGCAGGAGCAGCTGCAGCAGCAGCAGCAATGGCAGGGCGAAGAAGGCAGGTTCTCCTGGGGGAGGTGTGGTGCTCACCCTCTATCCCCTGCGCAGGCCCAGCCCCCGAACCTCCAGCCAAGGTTCGGAAACAGAGTCTGGTTCGAAAATCAGCCCTCCCATTCTGGACCCAAGTTCAGACACCGTCAGCATGGCCATGGGTTCGGTTTCAGGTTCGGATTCAGGTCCAGACTTGGAGGCTGCTGCTGCAGGTTTGGAGGCCGCAGGTTCAGAGGCCGTCATCTTAGGCTCGGAGGCTGCAGGTTCGGAGGCCGTTACATTAGGCTCGGGGGCTGCAGGTCTGGAGGCCGTTCGATCAGGATCGAAGTTAGCATCTATGGAGGGATACGGTTGGAAGAAGGGGGGATTCAGCAATATGAATTCAAGCCCCTTGAACGAACAGCAAGGAAGGGTGGTTTCGGGCAGTGCCACTGAGGGCAGTGCCACTGAGGGCAGTGCCACTGAGGGCAGTGCCACTGAGGGCAGTGCCACTGAGGGAATGTGGAGTGGGAGTGATAAGAACGGGTGGGCAGTGCAAGGCCCGGTGGAGGTGTTTGGAGCGATGCAGAGGATGCAAGTTCCTATTGACGAATTCACCATCTCGGTAAGCCGTGGTGTGCATGTGTCTATGAGGGCAAGGCTGGTAGTGTAGTGACCATACCGGGTGGGCAGTGCAGGGCCGTTTGGAGGTGTTTGGAGCGATGCAGAGGATGGGGATTCTTATTGACGAGTACACCATCTCGGTGAGCCGTGGTGTGCATGTGTCTGTTAGGCATTGTGGGTACTTTGGCAGTTGCAGTTACCATGGACGAGTGCTCCATCTCGGTGAGCCGTGGTGTGCATGTGTCTGTTAGTTGTGGTTGATGCATTGGGCATCATGAAGACATACCAACTCTTGCTTTGACGTCATGCCATTCCATGCCGTGCCCTGGCATGCCTTGCCATTTCATGCCATGCCTTGCCATTTCATGCCATGCCTTGCCATTTCATGCCATGCCTTGCCATTTCATGCCATGCCTCGCCATTTCATTCCATGCCTTGCCATTTCATGCCATGCCTTGCCATTTCATGCCATGCCTTGCCATTTCATTCCATGCCTTGCCATTTCATGCCATGCCTTGCCATTTCATGCCATGCCTTGCCATTTCATTCCATGCCTTGCCATTTCATGCCATGCCTTGCCATTTCATGCCATGCCTTGCCATTTCAAGCCATGCCTTGCCATTTCATGCCATGCCTTGCCATTTCAAGCCATGCCCTGCCATGCCATGCCATGTCATACCATGCTATACCAATCATTTTGACACATCTCTCACCATTCATGCATGGGTCACTCCTTTCTCACTCCCGTCCACCCCTCCACAATCTTCCCCACACCTAAACCTCCCTCCCAACCCCCACTCCCCCCCCAGCTATACGCACCCTCACTAGAAGCACTGAAGGATGCTGACGAGGCATCATCCCTCCTCAATACAATCACATCTCACGGCTATCACAGCAGCCGATTCTTCCCCCTCTGGTGCTCCCACATCGTGGGGGCGTGTGTGGGGCGCGGGGGAGAGGGGGAGGTGGGGAGGGAGGACGTGCGGAGGGGCATGGATGTGTATGGGAGGATGAGGAGGATAGAGAGGGAGGAGGATGGGGCGTTGGAGAAAGTAATATGGACTCTGCTGCGAGCTTGTGAGGTAAGCGGGGGTGAAAAAAATGGCTTTCGACAGACATAGGGAGTAGGATAGGAGGAGAATGGGGCAGGGGAGAGCTAAGGGGTGTGGGGAAGGAAAGAGGGTTTGGGTGAGGAAGAAAGCGAGAGGAAGAGTAGACGGTTTGAAGAACTGGGTTGAGCAGAATGTGTGATGCTTGCAGGATGTATCGTGGGTGCACACAATCATCTTTTTATTCTGTGTGTGCGCATGTTTGTTTGTTGGTGTGTGCTGTTCCATTGCAGGAGGTGGGTCTGTGGCAAGAAGCGAAGCAGCTGCTAGAGGACTATCGGTCCCTCAGGCAGGCCCTGCAGGCCAAAACGTCTGCTGTATCTGATGAGACGCAGAAAAGGGAAGACGCTCGCACGGCAGCAGATTTGGGTGTAGCAGCAGGAGCAGCCGGAGCAGGAGCAGAAACAACAGCAGCAAAAGCAGCAGCGGCAGACTCGTCACCAGCAGAAACCACATCATCACCAGAAGCAGCGGCAGCAGCGGCAGCGGCAGCGGCAGCGGCAGCAGAAGCAGCTAAAATAGGAGCAGCAGAGGCGCCCATAGAGGCATACCACATGGCCATGGCTGCCTGTGATGCTGCTGGTGAGCCGTTAGAAGCCCTGCAAGTGTATCGGGATATGCTGGCCCGGGGGCTTGTACCCTCTATGAGCACACTCGCTGTTATCATGCGCGCTCTGCAGAGGGGAGGGCTGTGGGTGAAGGCGATGGAAATTTTACAGACAATACCGAAGGGTATGAAGGGAGGGATGATGGATGGGCGGGAGGGTTGAGGATATTATTTTTTTGGAATGAATGATTCAACGTGCATCACATTGCTTTTGGACCTGGGGGAATACCATACCGGTAATTCCCTGATTCAACATGCATTCCACTGATATTTGTGAGTTGATTGATACGATGCGACCAAGTTGATACTATCGGTTGCCATTTGAAGTTGTGTCGTTCAAACAAAATGGACACCTTGTTGGTTGATGGTAAGGCACAGAAAATCTGAATGATGAATAGAAATACGCAGTGTAGGCTAGCCAGTTCCTAGGTAATTAGCATACGATCTCTTTTCTTCCATATCATGTGGTGGCACCAAACTTCAGAGACAATATATTCATGGAAACATGTACAAGACCGGAGCCAGCAGTACGGCGAACACCGGAGATCACAAGAAATTCTACTGTTATTTCATGGTACCTGCAGAACTACATCCTTGGTAACTCCCTAAGACAGACAAAATCACCTTTTAGCGCGGCTCGAGCCAAGGCGAAAGCGCAGCAGCGTGCCATTATCCCGTATGTCTACCATTGCCCCCACGCCTAGCCTCGATCCACGCGCTGCTTTTACTGATTCTACCGTTTCACGCGATGCTCGGGTGTTTATTCCCCGTGACGCACCGCTGACGTGGAACCTCGATGACGCGGCAGCAATCGGTTGGTCAGACGGTGCGATGCCGCTGGTAGGTGAACGGTTCTTGACGGAAAAGCCTTGACGAAATCTTTTGACGCAGAAAACCTGGCGAAGAAAAATGATAATATGATTTGACGTTTTTATTTTTAACTTGTCTGTGCTTCTATCTTCTGTGCTGCCAATGCTGCCATTGTTTCCAGTGCTGCCGGCCAGCTTTTACGGATGTGTGCTTTCTACTGTACGTTAATCTGTGTCCATCCATACATGAATGCGTATCCATCTATGCACATGCATGAGTGTCTATCCATCCATGCTCATGCATGAATGCACAATTCCCAGGTGAGCATCATCATGCCTTTTGAGACGTCTCAATATTCAAATCACTTTCCCGTGCATCTCCCAGGTCAGCATCATCATGCCGATTCACAATGCAGCGCCATTCCTGCAAGAAGCAATCGACTCCATCCATGCACAGGTGCGCATTCCATGGTGCCATTGTGCCATCATGCGCGTCGTAGGCATATCACTGACTCCTGCCAACCATCATGCCATCATGCCATTATACCATCGTGCCGTCGTGCTTGTGGTAACCCATGTGCATGCAGAGTTACCCAGGGCCCATGGAGATTCAAGTCTTTGACGATGGGCCGAGTATGTTTGAGTCGGCGCAAAAGTCATCTCACACTACTGTTCCCTCAACGCATGCATGTAACCCGTGTGCATGCAGAGTTACCAAGGGCTCATGGAGCTTCTGGTCTCTGACAACGGCCCGAGCACTTCTAAGTCAGCTCAAAATTATTTCTTCCACCGTCCCCTCACTGAGTGGGGTGGTATCCCGTGTGTGTGCTGCAGACTTACCAAGGCCCCAAGGAGCTTCTAGTCTTTGACGACGGCCCGAGCAACGACCAATCACGGGACATCCTTGAGGCAAATCGCTCTGTGCTTGCCGCCCGAGGCATCGCCCTGAAGATCGTCGACGAGCGGACAGATGCTGCCGCCCGGAAGGAGCGGAAAGACGCTGCCGCCCGGAGCGAGTGGTCAGATGCTCCAGTGCTAACGGAGCAGACACATGCTGCCGCCCTTGAAATCTGTTATCGTAGTAAAGATGGCTTGGGGAATGGTAGACAGACCGACAGCGGGAGTTTTGGGGACAATGGTGGCTGTGGGGGAGTTGGTGATAATAACAGGAATGGAGGTGATGAAGGGGTTGGTGATAATAACAGGAATGGAGGTGATGAAGGGGTTGGTGGCTCGTCAAGAGGAATCCCTGAAGCCAGTCGTATTCCTGACAGCAGAAGCAACGCAGAAGCAGTCGGTTCCAGTGAGAGGGGGCAACAAAGGACCCAGCCGAGGGGGTGTGGTTTCGGGCGCAACCGAGCCATCGAGCACAGCCGGGGCGAGTTCCTGTGCTTTGCTGATGGGGTGAGAGGCGCAGGTAGGGGCGTGGTGCAAGCGGCGAGGGGCGTGAGGCGTGAGGCGTGGGTCATGGGTCATGGGGCATGGGGCATGGGGCATGGGGCATGGGGCATGAGGTACATGCACATCACACATTGTCGTACACATTTATGCTTTTTGGTAACACAGCCAATTATTAATGATCTCTGCGCCACCTTAAGACTTCTACACCCCTTACCATGCCTTTTACCCTTCATACGCGTTATAACCTTCAGGATGATGTCATGGCTCCAGACCGCATCTCCCTACAGCTTGCTCTCGCATCTCAAAGCCACAAGCTATTGGTGAGTCGTGATGCTGTGTTGTGTCGTCATCCCGAAGGGCCGACAGCATGCAAGGTCTAGTCTCAGTCTTTTGGGTGCCTCATTAGCAGCTTGCTCTCGCCTCTCGAAGCCACAAGCTATTGGTGAGACAAAGCCTTCCCTTCTCAAAAACAATAATAACAATAATAATAATAATAATAATAAAGCAATAGACAAACTTTGCGTGTGAGCAGCAGCAGCGTGACAGCACGCATTCAATCAATGCCCCTCGCTCTTCTTTTCTCAGTTCATCCCAATGCAGCGCCTTGCCTTGCTCCCCTACCTCGCCTTCCCACATCCCTCCAGGTGGGTTCTAATTTCGTTCGTCTGCCAGCTGACACCTCGCCGAGACTCACAGCATGGCCCACCTCCCTCTCCCACCCACAGCACCTGTATCTGCAGCAGCAGTAGCAGAGGCTAGCAGGCAAACCCATCTGTGCTCGTTGGCTTGCCCTGTTTCATCCATCCAGGTGGGTTCTAACTTCGTTCGTCTGCCAGCAGACGCCACGCCGAGGCTCACAGCGTGGGTTAACTCTCTTTCCCACCCACAGCTGTACCTGCAGCAGCTGGTGGAAACCACCCTCATCGCGCCCACCTGGTTCTGCTCCCGACAAGTCTTCGACTCCTCAGGCATGTTGCATGTACTAGTGACTGTTCTTTCCTTCACTTCGTACACAGCTCCAGCTCACTCAACAGCTGTACCTGCAGCAGCTGGTGGAGACCACCCTCATCGCCCCCACCTGGTTCTGCCCCGGACAAGTCTTTGATGCTTTGGGTGCGTACTACTGCTTCTTCTTTCCTTTGCATCGCACCTAGCTTCAGAATGCCTCTCTTGCAGCAGCCGGTCCAGCAGGTCCCTTCTATGGCAGCGAGCAGGGCACACCAGCCGATTTTCGAGACGTCCCAGAGCCTCCTCTTGCCTCTTCCCCTTGCCCTTCCACGGTCCACCAGGTCCCTTTGATGAGAGCGGGCAAGGCACACCAGACGACCTCATGTTCTTCTACCAGCACTTGGGCAACGGGGGCTGGCTGGGCAAGGTGAGCGTGAGCACAGGTGAGCGTGAGCATCAGCCATATGATTGGGCGAGCAGCAGTCTAAAAGAAATCTTTAGCAAAGGATTAACAGTACGATCTGTTGTTGTTCCTGCTAAAAACAAGGAGTTTCAAGAAATCCGACTCAAAATTCCACTCAAAGATTAAAACGAGGCAAACTAGTTTCGGGTGACGGGACAGGCCCCAATCACACCTTCATCAGTGCAAGTGGAAATGAAAGAGAATGAGGAAGACGAAGCATTTGGGCAAACACTACGTCTCGGAAAACAAAACTCCAGGTTGTTGCAACCGTGGCCAGAAATCTGGTTGGCCAATCCCTGATGACCTAGAAAAGTCCAAGTCTTCGGGGTCTTCATTCCTCGTGGCGTAACGTTGAAGTAACACAATCCGCCAGCTGGTGCTCAGGGAGCCTCGCGCGAACCAGTAACCTTTGCAGGTTACAACCAGTTTTCCAAGCAACAAAACAGCCCTCTATGTAAAATCCGTGTGTAAGTAGACGACTTTTGAGACGTCTCAAAAGTCGTGAGCACAGGTGAGCGTGAGCACAGGTGCGGGGCGCTCCTCTTGCCTCTGTCTCGGCCTCTCTTGCCCCTGTCTCGGCCCCTCTTGCCTCTGTCTCGGCCCCTCTTGCCTCTGTCCCGGCCCCTCTTGCCTCTGTCCCGGCCCCTCTTGCCTCTGCATGGTCCACCAGGTCCGTTTGATGAGAGCGGGCCCAGCACACCTGATGACCTCATGCTCTTTCATCAGCACCTGAGCAACAGGGGTTTCCTGGGCAAGGTCAGCGTGAGTGAGGGGGGTTTGCTTGAATTGTGACACCCCTAGGTACTATGAGTTCTGCGAGGTTCTCCAGGCTGACTTTTGAGTCGACTCATAAGTCAGCATGAGGGGGGTTTGCTTGAATTGTGACACCCCTAGGTACTACGAGTCCTGCGAGGTTCTCCAGGTCCCTTGGATGAGAGCGGCCGGGCACACCAGGCAGGAAAGAAAAAACTGGTCCCGCCAGATGGCTGTCATTAGAGTGGCCGGGCACACCAGGCGGCCTCATGTTCTTCCACCAGCACTTGCGCAACGGGGGCTGGCTGGGCAAGGTGAGGACGGGGGGGTGAAAGGGGGTAGGAGAAGGGGGGGAAACGGCAAGGAGCGAAGGAACTGTTCCCATTAGATGGCTCTCATTAGATGGCTCTCATTAGATGGCTCTCATTAGATGGCTCTCATTAGATGGCTCTCATTAGATGGCTCTCATTAGATGGCTCTCATTAGATGGCTCTCATTAGAGCGGCCGGGCACACCAGGCGACCTCGTGTTCTTTCACCAGCACATGCGCAACAAGGGCTGCCTGGGCAAGGTGGGCATGAGCACAGGTGCGGGGCGCTCCTGTTGCCTCCGCCCTCTTGCCTCTGCACGGTCCCACAGGACCCTTTGATGAGAGCGGGCCCGGCACACCAGGCGGCCTCGTGTTCTTTCACCAGCACATGCGCAACAAGGGCTGCCTGGGCAAGATGGGCATCACCATTCGTCTTGCATGCAAGGGTGAGGTTGCTCTGGGTTCTCTCGCTGATTGTTCATCCACTAGCCATGTCACGAAACAGCAACCACACTCTATACTGTGCTAAAGATACTGCTCTATACTGAGTTGCCTCGCCTGTCCTGTGTTATGTCACGTCCCCTTGCAGGTGCCTCAGTCTCTAGTCACATATTGCTTCCACACGGCATCCGTGACAGGCTCACGAGGCTGCCCCTGGGAGAGCATCTGAAAGCATCTTGTCAAGAATTGCCTGGTGTTCTTCTAATTGTGCTGCTTCCCCTTGCAGGCGCCTCAGCCGCTAGTGACGTATCGCTTCCACACAGCATCAGTGACAGGCTCGTGAGGCTGCCCCTGGGAGAGCATCTGAAAGCATCTTGTCAAGAATACTGTGCTAATCTGCTCCCACTCTGTTGTGCTGCTTCCCCCCTGCAGGTACCGCAGCCTCTAGTCACGTATCGCTTCCACTCGGCATCAGTGACGGGCTCGCGAGGCTGCCCTTGGGAGAGCATCTGGGAGCAGCGAGTTAACCAGCTTGAAGCACGGCTACTCTCAGGGTATGACGACTTTGACTCTCGCTCGAGTATTGAGATGTCTTAGGGCGCAAGAGATGTGCTTCATGTGGGATATTAATATTTGCTTCTTACGCCCATCCTTCTTGCTCGCTTCGTTTTGGCCATCATAGTGTTTTGCGTGCCTCGAACAATGTATGGTAACATACGCACTGGCATTCACGCTTTGAGCCGGCTAAAAAAACACACGCATTTTGAACTTCAAACCAGATGTTTCGAGGCCCAGCGCACCACTCTGTCTTCTTGTTTTTAGCGAGTTGACTTTTGAGTCGACTCAGAAGTCGATCAGCTCTGCACTCTGTCCTCTTGTTTTTCAACACAAATCTTTGCAGGCCTAACAGCTCCTGCTGGTCAGAATTCACAATTTGGAATGCTGGCAAAGAGGGCAGGAGACTCTACCGCTCTCTCTCCCCATCGAACCAAGCCAAGGTACTGCATAAGTTATGCAGCATAACAAACCTTAGCCATGACATCATTAAGTCGACTCAGAAGTCACACATCATGGCAAAATCCCGCATTTTTCTCTCTGTAAGGCACTATGTATGAGTCCTGAGGGTGGCTGCTTGTTGTCTTCACCTGCTGCAGGTGATTGCATTTTGTGATGTGGATGAGAAGAAGATAACTAGAGGAGTGTACACACACCATGAGTCAGGACGAGCAGTGCCGGTGATCCATTGGTCTGCAGCCAGGCCACCGCTGCTGCTGTGTGTGAAAAGAGGGCTTACCGGCGGTGCGTTTGAGGAGATAATAGATTCTCTGAACATGGAAGAAGGATTGGATTACGTTTATTTTTCATAATGCCATGCCAGCTCTGCACTGTGTCCTCTTGTTTTTTAACACAAATCTTTGCAGGCCTAACAGCTCCTGCTGGTCAGAATTCACAATATTATAATTTTTAAACACACATTGTGTTTTTTAAAATTGTGTATTGTGAAAGCGAAGCTGCTTGTACTGCACAATTGGCATCGTCGAAGTGCGCTAAACGCCCTTCTCCAACTACAAAAACCGTGGGTTGGAGTTCATTTCCCTCCACCCACGTTTCTCGATTTTCCAACGGCTCGCTCAACATTTCTGCTCACGTAGTTTATCCCTCCGTCCAAGCTGGCTAGAACAAAATCGCTTCCTAGAGGCGAGTCACCTTCGACCTTACTCAACGATATTTTTAACTTCAATCGCTCAACGATGGCACCGACGCCGACACTTAACAACGGGAACTCGTCCAACCCCGCCTCCGACAACGACCGTAACACCCGCGATTTTGCGGGCGAACGCCGTAACAAGCGACGAGCAGAAGATGGACCGCCCGCCCCGACTGCAGTGGACGTGCTGCTGGGCGGGCTCGAGGTCAACAACTCGGCCAACGCCCAGCAGCACCCTTCAGCGCCAGTGGCGCCTGAGGTGCCTGTGGCGCCAGTGGCACCTGCGGCGCAAGTGGCGACGGCCGCGGGCGTGGCACACGCCACTGACGCCGAGCACACGCCAGCACCCGCGGCTGGACCGTCGCGTCAGCGCCAGAGGAGGCGGACGGCGGTCTCCTCGTCTGACGCGACGACCGCCCCTGCGTTGACGCAGGCGTTGACCTCGGACCAGGTCCACGCGCTGCTGTCCCTTCTACAGCAGCAGCCCGTCAGCGTTACAGCCGCGGAAACTGCACTACCCGCTGCATCTGCGTCGGCTAAAAAAGAAAATGCGAAAAAGGAAAAAGGCGCGCGAGGAGCAAGGACCATTCGGCACGACAACGACGCAGCAGCAGCAGCACCCCCCGCTCCAGCGGTCGACAACGACACCGACGACTGTGAAGATGACGCCGGTGAGGCTCCAGTCAACAATGTTAATTTTAATGGCACGGAACACCTTCCCCCCCTCCCTTCTTCTAACCTCACCTTCTCGGTGGCAACATTCGTCAACGACTCCGTACGAGAGCAAGCGGAGCTGCTGGAGGACTTACGCGCGTACCTGCTGCATGCGGAATATAAGGCGCAGCGAGGAGACCCAGCGGGCGGACTCGAACTCATCTCGCACGCTCTCAACCTCATCTCGGGGCGTTTCGAGGTGCTTCAAGTGGAGGACGTATCCGACTTCCGCACGGCAAAGCGCTTCAAGTTGTACCAGCAGAAGAGCCTGCTGACTTCTCGACCCTTCAAGCAGGCGGTCGCAGACATGGCGGCAATGGACCGTGCGGCAAGCGGATATGCTCGTGCCAACCGCGGCGGAAACAACGCGCCGTTGCCGTTTTTACCCAAGCGGGGCCCCCCGCCCACGGCCAATTGCCGCGGGTTTCGGGGCTCGTGCTTCCGCTGCGGTCAGCCGGGCCACGTGGCAAGTGCCTGCCCTAGGAACGGGCACGCCGGCCAAGGACCCGCTCCGGTGGTGTAGGAGCGGGCCATGGGAATAGGCGCTTGAGCGCTACGCACGGTGCACTCTTGAGTGCGAAAACCGTGGGCAACCCTAGGGGTTTGCGATGGCAAGAGGCCAGCCCTATTGAAGGGTAGGAATAGGCTTTGGGCCTAGGACAGGGAAGGGGAGCAACAACCCCCTCGGTCCCATGTAGCATGATGCATGCTAGGAGAGCATTGCTATGTGTGTTGGTTGATTTGATTTAAAAAAAAAAAAAAAAAAAAAAAAAAAAAAAAAAAAAAAAAAAAAAACCTTCTTAAAAGCCCATTGTTTTGGCAAAGAGACTCTGAAACAATCAAGAGGAGGATCAGAAAGAGAGAGAGTATGTGTGTGTGTGAGAGAGAGAGCGAGAGAGAGAGAGAGAGAGAGAGAGAGAGAGAGAGAGAGAGAGAAAGAGAGAGAGAGAAAGAACGAGATACAACATGGTGGGCACGCATGTCCATGATCCCACGCACCAGCCCCCACGAACTACGAGTAAGAGAGAGCATGAAAGAGAGAGGGAGAGGGAGAGAGCAAGAGAGAGAGAGAGAGAGAGAGAGAGAGAGAGAGAGAGGGGGGGGGGAGGGACAGAGATGGAGAGAGAGAGAGAGAAAGAGAGAGAGAGAGAACAAGAGAGAATAAGAGAAACACAATGGACAAGTGTGTCCATGGCCATAGGCATCATCTCCCAGGCACTAAGGGCAGGCACAACCACATCATACCACGTGCACGATGGGCAAAAAAAAAAAAAAAAAAAAAAAACGGAGGAAACGAGGAGAAGAAGAAGCGTCGTTTCGCGCCCGACACATTCGTTGACATTTCCGTCGGTTTTTATTTTCTTCACACATTTGATGAAGGGTTGCCCGTACATGTACATGCACACACATGCTTTGACATGGAATACTCAACCCGTATACCACTTGGCCTCCCATGCACAGGAGCAGACTACGATGACCCATACGAATTTGCCGTTACAGACAGAACTATTACACAGATGCGCGGTCGTCTTCGCGCGACCTTTGCGTGGTGGAGCTCATGGTGCCCCAGCAGCCTCGTTCTCTCCGTCATCGCCAATGGTTACTGGTTGCCATGGAGCCACGGCCCACCACAACCTTTCCACGATCGCAATCATGTCGGGGCGAACACGCATGCCACGTTCACACGTACCGCCATCCAAGAACTCGTAGAGACGGAAGCGGCAGTTCCGATGGCCGCAACGGAGCTCAAGTGCATAAGTCCACTTAACGTGGTCGAGCAAAAAGACAAATGCAAGCTCATTCTTGATCTGAGAAAGGTCAACGCCAACTTGATTGTCCCCAAGTTCAAGTACGAGGGGCTCAGCCGCGTCGCCGACCCGGCGCGCGTTGGGGACTGGATGTTCTCCATTGACCTCAAATCTGGTTACCATCACATCGACATCCACCCATCGTGCTAGAAGTTCCTTGGCTTCGAATTCGATAGGCGCACATACGCATTTCGTTCACTACCATTCGGCCTAGCGACGGCTCCATTCGTCTTTACACAGCTCATCAAGCAACTAGCTCGGCGTTGGCGAGAACAAGGCATCCGGGTCGTACCTTACGTGGATGACATCTTATTTCTCTGCCAGTCGAAAGCCGATGCGCAAGCAATCTGCCAGCAGGTGATATTGGACCTCAAAGAGGCAGGCCTTGTGATAAACGCGAAGAAATCACAACTGTCACCATCGCAACATCTCCGATTCCTGGGCGTAGAACTGGAGACCGACACCGGCCGATTCTCCATCGGTCCCGACCGACGAGCCTCACTACATGCAACCATCCAGAACCTCCTGAGCGCAAGCAGAGCATGCCGACCAGTCCCGGTCCGCCACATGGCCAGAATCACTGGCATGCTTGCATCAATGGGTGTCGCACTTGGCGCGACCGCTCGCGCATTCAGCCACGCTATGTTGCAAGTGATCAACGAAGCACCGTCTTGGAAAAGCAGCGTGGTTATCCCCCCATCTGCAGCAGAGGAACTCCAATTTTGGCTCGAGGAGTTTGACCGTTTCAACGGCGCACCTTTTCACGTCAGGAACAGCTACGACGCAGTAATCCATGTGGATGCCAGCTCTCATGGTTGGGGCGCCACGCTGACCACATTTCCGGGCGGCCTCGAAGAAGCCAGCGCAACCATGTCAGAGCCGCTACGAGGAACGTCCAGCACGCGACGGGAGATTGAAGGCGTCCTTTGGGCGCTCCAAACATACGCGACCAAGATCAAGCAAAAACACGTTCTCGTGCGGGTGGATAACCAGGGCGTG